ATCAAGAGTTCGAGGGACGCCATCGAGCTGAATGTGTGCAGAACTCGGAGGTGCCATATGTTTGGTGCTTGATCGGTCGGAACGAGAAGAAGTTCGACTACATCAACCGCGTTAACAAACGCTTCCACTTTTCGGTCTACGAGGGTACGTGGACACACTCTCCCCCTCTCGTTGCTATGCATCTCCTAGATAGATCTTGCGTGAGCATAGGATTTTTTTTTGAAAATGCATGCTACGTTTCCCACCAGTGGCATTCCGAGTCAGGTCTATGCGTAGATGATATGCATGAGTAGAACACAAAGAGTTGTGGGTGGTGATAGTCACATTGCTTACCACCAACATCTTATTTTGATTCGGCAGTATTGTTGGATGAAGCGGCCCGGACCAACCTTACATGACCACATTCATGAGAACGGTTCCACAGACAGACATGCAACTCGTTTTACATAAAGGTGGCTGGGGGGTGTCTGTTTCTCCAACTTTAATTGAATCGAATTTGACTATGGTCGGTCCTTGTTGAAGGTTAAAACAACAAACTTGATGAAACACCGTTGTGGTTTTGATGCGTAGGTAAGAACGGTTCTTACTAGAAGCCCGTAGCAGCCACGTAAAACTTCCAACAACAAAGTAGAGGACGTCTAACTTGTTTTTGTAGGGCATGTTGTGATGTGATATGGTTAAGACATGATGTGATATACGTTGTTGTATGAGATGATCATGTTTTGTAAAAGTTATCCGCAACTGGCAGGAGCCTTATGGTTGTCGCTTTATTGTATGAAATACAATCACCATGTAATTGCTTCACTTTTATGACTATGGGTTAGCGATAGTTGTAGAAGCAATAGTTGGCGAGACGACAACGATGCTACGATGGAGATCAAGGTGTCAAGCCGGTGACGATGGAAATCATGATGGTGCTTTGGAGATGGAGATCAAAGGCACAAGATGATGATGGCCATATCATGTCACATATTTTGATTGCATGTGATGTTTATCTTTTATGCATTTTATTTTGCTTAGTACGGCGGTAGCATTATAAGATGATCCCTCACTAAAATTTCAAGGTATAAGTGTTCTCCCTGAGTATGTAGCATTGCGATAGTTCGTCATGCCGAGACACCACGTGATGATCGGGTGTGATAAGCTCTACGTTCACATACAACGGGTGCTAGACAGTTTTGCACATGCAGAATACTCGGGTTAAACTTGACGAGCCTAGCATGTACAGACATGGCCTCAGAACACTGGAGACCGAAAGGTCGAATGTGAATCATATAGTAGATCAACACAGAGATGTTCACCATTGAAAACTACTCCATCTCACGTGATGATCGAAAATGGTTTAGTTTATAGGGATCACGTGATCATTTAAATGACTCGAGGGATGTCTGTCTAAGTGGGAATTCTTAAGTAGTATGATTAATTGAACTTAATTTATCATGAACTTAGTCCGGATAGTTTTTGCATGATCTATGTTATAGATCAATGGCTCGTGGTACCATTCCCTTGAATTTTAATGCGTTCCTAGAGAAAGCTAAGTTGAAAGATGATGGTAGCAACTACACGGACTAGATCCGTAACTTGAGGATTATCCTCATTGCTACACAAAAGAATTATGTCCTTAATGCACCGCTAGGTGACAAGCCCCCTCCCGCTAATGTAGACGCTTTGAACGTGTGGCAGACGCGGTCTGATGACTACTCTATAGTTTAGTGTGCCATACTTTACGGCTTAGAATCGGGACTTCAAAGACGTTTTGAACGTCATGGACCATATGAGATGTTCCAGGAGTTGAAGTTAATATTTCAAGCAAATGCTCAAGTTGAGAGATATGAAGTCTCCAACAAGTTCTATAGATGCAAGATGGAGGAGAATAGTTCTATCAGTGAACACATACTCAGAATGTCTGGGTATCATAATCACTTGACTCAGCTGGGAGTTAATCTTCCAGATGATAGTGTTATTGATAGAGTTCTTCAAATCACTGCCACCAAGCTACAAAGGCTTCATGATGAATTATAATATGCAAGGGATGGATAAGACAATTCCCGAGCTTTTCGCTATGTTCAAAGCCACGGAGGTAGAAATCAAGAAAGAGCATCAAGTGTTGATGGTTAACAAGACCACTAGTTTCAAGAAAAAGGGCAAGGGAAAGAAGGAGAACTTCAAGAAGAATGGCAAGCAAGTTGTCACTCCTTGGAAGAAGCCCAAGTATGGACCCAAGTCTGAAACTGAGTGCTTCTACTGCAAAGGGACTGGTCACTAGAAGCGGAACTGCCCCAAGTATTTGGCGGATAAGAAGAATGGCAAAGTGAACAAAGGTATATTTGATATACATGTTATTGATGTGTACCTTACTAATGCTCGTAGTAACTCCTGGGTATTTGATACTGGTTTTGTTGCTCGTATTTGCAACTCGAAACAGGGGCTACGGATTAAGTGAAGATTGGCTAAGGACGAGGTGATGATGCGCGTCGGGAATGGTTCCAATGTCGATGTGATCGCCGTCGGTACACTACCTCTACATCTACCTTCGGGATTAGTTTTAGACCTGAATAATTATTATTTGGTGCCAGTGTTGAGCATGAACATTATATCTGAATCTTGTTTGATGCGAGACGGTTATTCATTTAAATCAGAGAATAATGGTTGCTCTATTTATATGAGCAATATATTTTATGGTCATGCACCCTTGAAGAGTGGTCTATTTTTTAAATCTCGATCGTGGTGATACACATATTCATAATATTGATGCCAAAAGATGCAAAGTTGATAATGATAATGCAACATATTTGTGGCACTACCGTTTAGGTCATATTGGCGTAAAATACATGAAGAAACTTCATGCGGATGGACATTTGGAATCTCTTGATTATGAATCATTTGATGCTTGCGAATCATGTCTCATGGGCAAGATGACTAAAACTCTGTTCTCCAGAACAATGGAGCGAGCCACAGACTTATTGAAGATAATACATACCGATGTATGCGGTCCGATGAGTATTGAGACTCGCGGCAGGTATCATTATTTTCTAACCTTCACAGATGATTTGAGCAGATATGGGTATATCTACTTAATGAAACACAAGTCTGAAACATTCAAAAAGTTCAAAGAATTTCAAAGTGAAGTGGAGAATCATTGTAACAAGAAAATAAAATCTCTACAATCTGATCGCGGGGGCGAATAATTGAGTTATGAGTTTGGCCTTCGTTTAAAACAATGTGGAATAGTTTCACAACTCATGTCACCCGAAACACCACAGTGTAATGATGTGTCTGAATATCGTAATCGTACTTTAGAAGAGGGGAGAATCCAACACGAATTGGCTACATTATCATACTCTAGGTGATTGATTCATCTTAACTACACAAAAAGGGCAAAAGAAGTATTTTTTTTCACACCGACATGATACTCTTCTGTATTTGGGGCTCCAAATGCTTTTCTCATGATACGTGAAATAGGAACCTAGAACTCAATCTACTTCCTGAAAACATGATATTTTCACCGCAATATATTTCAATATATTTAGTTTAGATGTCCCTTTGGTGAACTAGAGGATGTATTTCCTACTAAGGATTTCAAAGAGTAAATGGCACCAAAATACACCTCTTTGTAAAGAAAAAAAACTACAACATCGCTGGATTTTAACGAATAATCTGGCCTCCAGGGATAATGAGTAACAAAAAAATAACCAGAGTCTTGTTAATTTTTTTTACAGAAGTGCTATTTTTCAGTTGAATGTTTTACATTTAGGCTTCAATCAATTTTTTTACTCTCTAGTTATTCTCTTTCCGTTTCCATTATTATTTATTTATTTATTGCCAATGGACTTTTCGGTGGGTGGTTTTGGTGCCCAAATCTTTATTTATTTATTTTGGGTGATAGACTTTGTTGTGTATGCTGGTTGTTCTTGTAGCTAAATCTTTTTTTGTCTTTCTTTCCCCTTTTTGTTTTTATCTTTGTGTTTGTTTCAAGTTCCATCGGGTGCATATTTGTGCGTTGGTAATTTTACATTTCAAAAATGACGGACTTACAATATACTACTCCCTCTGTTTCAAAATATTTGTCTTTATAGAGATTTCAACAAATGACTACATATGAAACAAAGTGAGTGAATCTACACTTTAAAATATGTCTATATACATTCGTATTTGGTAGTCCATTTAAAATCTCTAAAAAGACAAATATTTAGAAACGGAGGGTATATTACATGCAATTTTGGTGTTTAGAGATTATAAGTTTTAGTAATATGCTAAATGCAAACTCGCATGTTGTCTTAAATTTCTTCATGGTTTATGGGACCGCAATGGCTAGTGAATGTTCCCTGAGAAGCATGGTGTTTGCGAACGCTTTTTATGACAAGTTCTTCAAACACACGGGACAATTTCTTTAGGAATACATGACAAATTATGCAAAGAAGGAATTTTGCTGTGAAATTTGCCGTGATTGATTGAAGAAATTGCCATGTTCCCACAACATGAAATTCCATGAAAAACGTTCGCAAGAAGCCAAGATTTTCGTAATGCAATGTGGAAACGCACAACCATCATTCCTTCCCTACAAACGACTCCAACTTTTGTTAAGCAGATGGAAGAATGATGATGAGCGGAGGGAAAACAAACTGTCGAAGGCCCACTAATCCAAATCGTAGAAAAGTATCATACTCCTACGAGGCAGGACCGCAGCAGTAGAGTAGTGTATGATGCCTCAGTGTTCCAGAAAAAAAAAGATTAATTAGAATGGGGGAAGAAGAATCCAACACCAATTGGCCACATTATGATTGTGGCCTCGCACAATCTCCCGGCACAGGTATAAATGAGAAGCGGCCATGGACGCCATGGGCCTCGCGTGCTGACAAAGCCACACTTATAAGCCACGGACAACACGCCGCCTCCTCAGCAGCCGCGCCACATCCGAGGCGCCCACGCAGACGCAGCCCAACCCGAGAGCGGAGCAGACAGCAGAGCAAGGGGGAGAGAGGATAGAGGGAGACTGATCGATGTCTTCCGCATCGGTTCCGCCGCCGGTGGCGCCGGAGCGGAGGGTGCCCGTGGTGGTGCCGGTGGTGCCACACTTGGCTGAGGAGGGAGGAGGCGGGAGCGGGAGCGGGGGCATGGCGGGGATATCGCCGAGCATCCTTATCATCGCCGTAATCGTGGTGGTGATGCTTCTGGCGTCCATCTCCATCCACTACTTCATCCGCAGTCTCTGCCGCCGCTCCCCCTCCTCCGCCTCGGGGTCCTCGGCGCCGCCGCTCCCGCTCGTGGCGGTCCGCAGCTCCGCGGTGGCCCCGGCGGCGGCGGCGGCGGCGCCCGTGGCCGACCAGGGGAAGGAGGCGGCCGCGGAGAGGGAGCGGCTCATCGGGCGGCTGCCGCTCTTCACGCTGGCGTCGTCCCTCGCCGCGCTGCCCAGGTCGTCCAGGGACTGCGCCGTGTGCCAGTGCGTGTTCTGCGCCGACGACGAGCTCCGCCTCCTGCCGGCGTGCCGCCACGCCTTCCACTCCGGCTGCGTCGACCCGTGGCTCCGCGCCAACCCGTCCTGCCCGCTCTGCCGCGCCTCCATCGCGCTCCCGTACCCGCCGCTCCCCGAGCTCCTCCGCGTCGAGCTCGGCAGCGTCAGCAGCCGCCGCTCCACGTCGTCCTCCTCCTCCGCGGCCGTCGCCGCGGCGCCGCCAGAGGGAGTCCGGGCGTACCCGCTCCCCAACTCCAACACCAACACAGAGTACCTCGTGGAGGAGGACCTCCAGGTCGTCCTCAAGCCGCCCAGCGCCGCCAACCCGGCGCCGCCGCCGCCCCCCACGGCTCGAATTACCGGCGAGCCGAGCCAGCAGCTGGCAGCCGCGGCGGAGCGCGGGCTGTCGTCGTCCGTGACGCCGACAGCGTCGTTCAGGTCGGTGGGGCGTTCCAGCAGCAGGTGGAGCAACCGGTGGAGCAGCCGGTGGAGCAGCGGGCGGTGGAGCAGCCGGCACGACGCCGGGAGCGTGACGGCCGCCGCCACGGCCGAGTGGTGGTGGGACATGGACGGCGGGGTGGCGCCAGCGTCGCGGCGGGCCGAGTCCGAGGACGGCAGCGCCTTCTACGGGTTCGTGCGGTGGCTGACGGGAGCATACTAGCTACGTACTACTAGTAAACAGCGCGTTCCAACGGCGGGACAAGCTCCGGCCTCCGGCGCCGCAGCCCCGGCGCCGCGCATGCAGTGTAATCTCCAAACTGCCCCAAAACCGGATGGATTCTGATGCCGCTGCCGCTGCCGCTGCCGCAGTCTCTGCTTTTGGGCATCCGCGACCTTCTCTCTCTTGGTTTCTTTTGGGGTGCCGTACGGATTACAAATCTGGCTCCGGCTTGGAGAATGTCGGCGGGAAGGCTGAGGAATTCGCTCGCTCGGGGACTTTGAGGCGAACCGAACCGAAACGAAACGAAAATTCCACATCTTCCCAAGCTTTCTGCTCCTACTCTAGTACGTGCTGCATTTTGATTTGAGTTGTACTCCTTTACTGGTCAGTTTGTAATTTTCATTCCATTGGTCACTGTGGATTGTGCAGTGCAGTGATGAAGAGAGAGTGATTTTGCTCTCTGTCTCATGTGCGCGACAGTGCGAGACTGTGTGCGTCGTAGCGTGGTACATGAAACTAGTAGGGGACAGCGGTGTGCTTTGAGGCAGGGCAGGCGAAGAAAGCATTTGTTGTGTGTAGGCGTAGAGAGTGCACATGGAGGTGTGGTGTTGTTGGGATATGGGTGCAGATTCCTGGTCCATGCCATGCAGCATGAGCATGAGCATGATCATGAGCGTGAGATCAAGAACTCGGCTCTACTCGGATGGAAAAAGGACTTGGCTGTCCCATCGGCGTTGCTATACAGACGACAAGATTACAGCCGACGGCTGCACGATCCTACGTGGAGGGCCAGCAGTGAGTGTGCACGCAGGAGGTTATTTGTTTTCTTTTTTTAGCTGATGCTAGTGCTGTTGGAGAGGAACATCGTTTGCAGATCGTGCGTAAAGTGTCGTCCCTGAAGCAATTTCCCTGTCCCATTGGACAAGTAATCATCTCCTACTATCATCTGCTAGTAGCTAGCATGAGTATATTATTATCTACTGTTAGTTCAAAGTGATCATTTTTGTTGAACCGGTGTTCCAGTGATCATATCATATCTGCATGCATAAAGTGAGTGGTGGGTACTAGCTCTGGACTGGAGAAACTTTGCTTTGACTGTACCCCTGCACTGACTTGACCTGTCTGCCTGCCTTGTCTTTCTTCCTCCTCCTCAGCACCTCATCCATACCATACCATCCGCATGCAGTATGTACAGCAGCGATTTGCTTGCACTGAAGACAATGGCTTGGTGCATTTTTTAGCCAGAACACTGCACTGTCTTCTTGCCTTAGCCTTGGAGTAGTAGCCTTCGGTACTTTTTACTCCACATATAAGAGCATCTACAACCACGATGAACAAATCCGGCCCATCAAACACCCGCCGGCGCGTTCTGACCAGTCACGTCTTAAATAATGCAATTCATATCCGGACATTTTAGTTATCATATCTCAAATTCATACAACTATATCGATGCATTACACACATCGTCCGACTACTTCATCACTAATAACATGGCATCGAAATACCAAAATTTGACATGTTTGGCTATGATGGAGATCATCCACGGCTGCCATTGCCATCCTTCTCGCGGAAGTACCGGTCGAAAACGCGGTAGGGATCGAGCCGGATCTGCTCGTCGCCGGAGCTGTCCTCCTTCGGTGGCAGTTCGGCCATGGCACAGACCACCCAATTCTGCTCTCAGGCGAGGGCGCGCGTGTTCCTACGTTGTCATTTCTTCACAATGAGGACGCGGATGGCTTCCTCTGCGGCCGTCTGCGCCGCCGCATTAGCCGTCTCCATTGCCGCCATTTCCACCATGATACGAGTCTCGGCGGCCCTTATCCTCCCCTTCCCACGGAGGCTGCCCGTTCTCGGTGGGACTCATAGTCTACCCGACCGGTGATGGGGAAGGAGAGATTTTTCGGCTGCCGGGACCGCGATGATCCAGCCCCGGAGGACCCGAGCGCCTGTTGAGCCGACACTATGGAGTCGTGCCGGACAGATCCGTCCGTCGACCAGGCACTGTCCTCCCGGGAGAGGCGAAGTGCAATGCGGACCGCCATTGCCTGCTCCAACCTGCACAAGATGACACCCCAGTCGACGGATCCGGAGTAGTCGGAGTCTAATCCGCTACCCGCCATGCTGGAGATGGCCGAAAATCGCCGGAGGTGAGTTCGGGTGGCGGATGGAGTGGAAGAGAGCGGAGAGTGAAGTGGCTGGGATTTGGTCCGATGATCGGATGGGGACGAATATATGTGGGGTCGGGTGGGCCATCATAGGCCGGGTCCGACGTGGCGCACGCACCCGGCTGCCCAATATGCGCACCATATTTGGGCTGGATATGAGGGGTGCCGGTCAGCCCGGACGTTTGAGGCCCGTTTGAGGCATTCGTCTGGGTTAAAATTTCATGACCGGTTAGTGACCGGGCGGCCCCCCGACGCTTGAGTAGGGTTTGGGCGCCCGACTGTAGATGCTCTTAGATTTGTCTGAAATCAATCTTTATAATGTTCGATCAACTTTATAAAAAATAATAACATCACAAATACAAAATCAATATCATTAGATACGTCATGAATTTAGTTTTCGTATCATTAGATACGTCATGAATTTAGTTTTCATATTGTATAACTTTAATATTGTAGACGTTGATATTTTGTCATATAAATTTGGTCAAAGTCGATGGACTTAAGATAAATCTTACTGTATATGCTGAGTAAAAAGGACACGAGGGAATAGTGTTTTTGAATGCGTGTGTTCATCTGATATCGTGAGCTACTGCTGCTGCTGCTGAGGTGCATGCAATGCAATGCAAAGCAAGGTCGCTTTGACTTGGTTGCTGTCTCAAGGGGGGCAAGCAAAAGCAAAAGGAGGCCTGTGGCTGTGGCCTGCCTCTGATTCTGGAGAGACTCAGCATGCAACTTCCTTTCTACTTTTTTTCCTTTTTATTTTCCCCTATCATACTCACTACTGAGGCAGTGGGTAGGCACGTACGTACGTAGCTGCTGCTGCTGCTGCTGCTAGCTCTTTCCAGCGATGTTTGTTTGCTGGTTCGTGAATCGTGACCGGTGCTTGTCCATGGTGGCGTGCTGCGCAGTCGAGTCAAATGTGCATTGCGTCGACCCATTGACTCCACGCCCAGCGCAGGGCAGTGGTACGTACGTACGATCGTACGTGCGGTGGCACCATCTTTTATGGGCCGGCCAGGCGACCAACGTGATGTACGTTGCGCTTCACCATCATCAGATAGAGAAAGAAAAGACGGAGCTGTACCACGTTTGCTTTGTGTGGTACTGCTGGTCAGCGTGCAGAGGTGTGAACTCACTGAATCAGAGCGAAAAAAAGCTTTGGTGCAACAATTTACCTGGCCATATGTCATGGCATGGGCCGGCCCGGGCCGACGGCCCAAAGCCACGAGGCGCAACGGAGTTCGAGGCTGGCACGAGAGTTCGAAGCCCAAGTGAAGGGGAAGAAGCAAGCGTTACAGTAAAGAAGCGAAATTTTTGGGTCTTCTCATGCTAGGAAAGTAAGAGCAATTTCAATAGGGCAATCCATTTCATCCGCGGCCGTCCGTTTGGGTCGGCGCAAACAAAAAAGCCGGCCCAACGCGCCAACCCAAACGGACACGCATCCGCTTTTGTCCGCCTGCCGACTCATTCCTGGTTCATTTTTTAGCCTGATTTGAGTCGGCGCGGATACAATACGGACGCGCGCGCTCGCCCACTTTCTTCACCGGGCCCGCTGGTCGATGGCACATTGGACTCACACCCTCGCGCGCCTGCTACGTTGTCGACGTCGTCGGCCGTTTTTTCAGATAAAAATGGATACATAGATAGTTCTAGCGTACACAGATAAAAAAAAGACCACTACTCGTCGCTTTCTAACTCCGACTCGGTAATGTCCTTCTTCGATGTTTGAATGTAGGCGTCAGCATGCTGCTCGTCTTCAAAGTCCCAACCCGACGTTTCTCGTAGCTTCAGTTTCAATTGAGTTGCCTGCTTCCGCGAACGCCTGTCCTCCAGATAGGCGACTCGCTCCCTCCTCCTCGCGTCCCTCTCCAACCTCCTTTGCTTGTAGAACTGGCGCTCGTCGACGATGTCCTACGGGAAGCCTCCGCGCTACACCATCAAGGCTTCCACGTCCTTCTCCGCGATGGTGAGGCGCCGCTGCCGCCTCCGGTGGACACGACGATCCTCGTCGGTGAAAAGTCGCGGGAGAGGCGCCAGATCCTGCGACCGCTGGCTCAACACGTTGGAAAAATTCATACGAAACTGCTCCATGCACGACATAAACGGACGATCTATGCACGATAAATCAATCCAGCGGCCAGCGCAGTTATACGTATGTACGTCCAGATTTTATCATCGCCTGTGCATCATCCATCATTTATCGTGTGCATAGCACGACTAAAATTCATATCCCTATGAGGCCTCAGGAGGCGCCACGCCGCCGCGTCGTGCGCGCGGGCCGCCTCCTCTGCGGTGTCGAAGGTGCTGAGGATGAGACGTTTCTTACGAAATCAGATCTTGGAGGAGAAGGCGCCGGAGCGGCGCTCGCGGACTCCGCGAAAATCTGAAGCGCCCAGGCGACGGATCGACATGGCGGCGCAGAGGCGACGAGAATGGGCGGCGAACAGAGTGTGGAAGGAGCGCCTTCTTTATAACAAGCGTCGGCCGCGGCGCGCACGTGAACCTTCCCCGCGCGCTGGAGCGTCAAAACCAGCGCGCGTTAGGCCGCTTTCCCCCGCGCGCGAACCTTTCCCGCGTGCTGGAGCGCCAAAACCAGGGCGACGGCATGATCTAAAACGCGCGGTCATGAAATGGGGCGCCCGTTGGGCGCACTACCGACCCGAAACTAAAAAAGGGCGGACGGCAGGCGGGCGGCCGACTCAAACGGACAAAAAGCAGACAAAAATGCCGTCCGTTTGGGTCGGCCCGTTGAAGTTGCTCGAACGGCTTGTATTTTTTTTTTGCCATTGGCCGGTGCCTGGAAACCTTGTTAAACGTCCTTATTTAATGAATGGA